GCTGATGTATTATATCGATCCATCATTTCATTACTATTTTGATTTACAACTGGGATCATTTTTGTGTGATGAATTCCATTCATGAGTGGAGAAATTTGCTGTTGGTATTGTTGTTGGCTAGTGTCTTGTGTGTAATGATTTGGTTTTGCCATATGGTGTACATTTACATGTAAAGATTGATGAGTTGGGTTATTATAGTTGTCATCTCCATCGTAATCTTCATATGGACGCAAAGGATATCGATGATTATTAAATGTTTCTTTTGAATTTTCGCCAAAGGATTGTCGTTCATTTGCCGAACGAATAAATGCTCCTATCATGGGCTGATCATCTTCATCACTTTCCTCTTCATCTCCTTCTATTTGCTGTTCCGATTTCGGTATATCAAATGTTTGATTTCTATTAAATAATGTTGTATATTGTATATCTAAATTTGGATTTGAATGATGTTGGTGATTTATAATGTTATCTTCGTTTTCATCTTCGTCTACTAATTCCTGAACGGAATGAGCAGATTGAATTGAACGTTGATGATTATTTTGCTCCTGTTGCTGTGACGACGGATGACTTAAGCTTTTAGCATTGTAAACATATTCATACGAATTATTTTGTTGTGGGCGAACAGATTGTTGTTGTTGCTGTTGTTGACGATAAACAGTTGACGAAGAGTTTGGCATTTGATTAAGTAAGGCGGTTGTCGATGCTGGACGAGCAGTAGGTTGTGAGTTATTTGTCGTATGATGATGTGGGTGAGCTAGTGTTGCAAATTGTTGAGGATAATGATTATTGTTATGAACAAGTAATCGTTCATGACTTGATGCTCCTTTTAGAATTGATGGGGCAACTGATAGAGGAACATGTTGGTGCGGCAGCGTAGCTGACGTTGGAAATCGTGTACCTAACATTTAAGAAAACATTATTATACATTAGATTTTAGTACAACAAGTAGTGGTTTTTGAACGGAGGTGAGCACCCATGTTTAAATATACTTTTCTCGCAATTGCCAAAAGCTGAATTTTCTTATGTCTTTCAGTAGCCAAAAATTAAAAAATTTCAAATCAACAGTGAAGTTTTTTATTGCTTCAATTACCTGATTGATGACTATCGGATGCCGATTTTGCTAATAAAGCTGATAAACCTTGATGATATGCAGCATCTTTCAATATTTTTAACGTAACAATAGGGCCACATTGTTTTAAAGCATCAGCAGCTCTAAATATTTTTAAAACATTGAAAGAAATAAAATAAATTGATGTTGGATGAAATTTTACATTTCATAAGACGTTTTAAGAAGAAAATAATCACTGAGGACAAACTAAAAAGGCTGAATTTCTCATTTTGTTGTTTTCTTTGCTCTGTAGCAGTTTTTATTTGTTTTTTTAAACTTTGACAAAGATCTGCTAGAACACTCTAGCTGTTATCACTGACTTACTGATCTTGAGTAATATCAATAAGAATGACATTATCAACTTGTATAATTTGATCACCAGCTTGCAAACGGCCATTGTCTTCAGCAGCACCACCGGGTACTAGAAATAAAACAAGAAAGATTACTACTATATAAAGATATATGCCTAATTGCAAACGCACCAACAGCTTTAACATAAATTCCTTGAAATTGTTGATTTTCACCCTTAAATTACAATACAGTTTAAAACTTTTATCCAAACAAGAGGATACACAGATAACCTTACTTTGGCAGCAACAATACTCAAGCCCAGACTATTATTTTTCTTATTCATGATTATTGTTTGAATATTATTGTTGTCATGTTGCATTTGACCATTACCGTTCATTGTTCCATGATGATGTGCATGAGATAATGGTTCATCACCATTCTTAAAGAAGAAAATTTGTATTTAATATAAATAAGAGAAATGGAAACAAAATCTTACATGAACTGATGGTGGTTTCATGAATTCAGTCCATAAACCGAGACTATGTGGATTTGTAAACAGTCGACATATGCCGGTTCTACTCATTGGTTCGATAAATTCAAATAACGGCTGAGGAATCGAACGAACCGTATCGCAAGTATAGCCATCCTCAGGTAATAAAAATGGTAAATTCAGTTCCCGATCTTCATGCAGTTGAAGTGGTACACCTTCTTTACACAAATTATCGTCGACAAATTTGCGTGCAGCAGATAAAACTCTAAAAAAAGGATTGAGTACATAATAAAAGACTTATAAATAGACATTAAAACATACGCTTGACTAAAAGTTGGAGACACTTGTGGTTCATTTCTATTCGGGATATAATTATCCAAAACTTGTTTAATTTGTTTTGAATTTAATTTTAATGATGCATTTGCCAATAAACTTGCATCATTTTGATCACGTTTTGGATTTTGTAATAACTGACATATTTGATTTACTTTTGTCAAGTGACAATCGGACGCTAATTCTAAACCTTGTCTCAATGCCCATTCACTAATACGAGACAAACGTGATGATAGCTTTTCACCCCAATAGTGTGTACATAATTTTAATTCTGAATAACACACTATTCGATTAAATAGCCATGAATTAATATAATGAAATATTTGTGAAAACATTTGAATAGTCAGCGCTGCATTTACACGACATTTACGCAATAAATTCATTACAGATGACAATGTAGCTAAAATGTCACCTAACGTGGCTAATGGATGTCCACCATTATCATTCATTGGATTCATCCAGCGAGAATCAGATAATTTTGGATTGTTTGCACTACTTTCTTCTAAAACAGTAAAAGATTGAGAATGTTTTGTAGACGATATAAAACCACATACTAATTACCAAATGCAATATAAACATCTCTTTCAACATCGTCTTGTGGATTTGAAAAAGCACACAAATATTTTTCTAGTTCACTTTGTACTAATGTTGTTAAATGACGAAATAGACGTTGAACACATTCGGCTAAACGATCTTGTACATCATTAGATAATCGCGATAAATCTCGATCTTGTTTAATAAAATTTAATAATTCAGATGTATTTGCTATCCAATAGGCTAAATAACCACCGTGATCTCGACAATCCTTGAGAAACAAAGAAAAATATAGATGCACACATTATTTCTACTTAGAAGTGTAAAGCAAGCAGTTTTCCATTCTAATAAAATATTCACTAATGTCTCATGTTTATTTTTCTTACTTCAGTTTTTTTACTAATCATATCTTCAATCTTATACAATAATGAGACAATACTGTCTTGTTTATGATTAATTGGTATATTTGTTTTACTACCATATGGTGATAAACGGTGTCTCAATGACATATATAAACAATAAACGGGTGATAAACGAAAACCAATATTCGATAGATTATGATTTTCGAATACTGACTGAAGAAAACGTGTTTCAGCTACAGCATTAAAAAAAACAATCTTTTGATTATCTGAGAATAGAAATAATAATTACAACATCTTACTTTCGATAGGAACTTCTAATAAACCAGGTAGAACATCAATCATATGACTAGAAGTAAAAACAAAAAGTCATGATTCAAATTATATAGCATAGTGAACGCTGATCAACCAAAATAACACACAATAGAGCAATGCCAAAAAAAAATATAAGAGAGAAATTACAGAGAAAAACGGATTTTTATCTAAATTGTTCATGATATATTACCCTCCATCAACAGCACTTGTCGTCGAACTATGCGATGGTTTCTTTATTTCTTTTGTGCGAATTATATCAGCTGAACTCTTTTTCAATGCTAAAGTATCTTTCGGATATTGATTTTGAATATGTTGAGATTTGATATTGTAAATCTGTTGAGATTGTGCTTGTTGCGGCTGCTGAACTAAGGCTGATATTGCTGACATTGATCCATGTAACGGTGTAGGAATACCTACGTGTATTGAATCAGGTACAGCTGGTTTTGTTTGTATAAATTGATGAGGATGATGATTTATATTCTTTTCAATTGGCTATAGAAAAAAAAGTTTAAGCTATATTAATGGAACAAAGAAGTGAATAATATACCTGTGGAGCAACAAATTCTCGTTGTTGTTGTTGTTGTTGTTGTTGTTGTTGTTGTGGGAAATTTGGTATAGTTCTCATATTTGATTTATAAACGAAAGCAGGATCAAAATATCGAAATGCTGTTGCACGTCCAAAACAAATCATACATCCGTGTTGTAATACAAATGGTTGATTAATCAATTTTCCATTGAGCCATATTTCACCCTTGGGTGCCACAGTAACAACACCATTCTGATTATGAATTGTACAATGATCGCGATCAATACCCACACCATCGATCTAATAAAGGAAAGGAAAGGTTACAAACCAACACAGATTTTTCTTTCTCTATGCATAGTAAACGACGAAGATTATATTGTTAAAAACTTACATAAAAATATTGTTTACCAACGTTTGTTTTAGAATCACGACCGACATAAGTCGTATCAGGTGCAATTTTGTATACACGTGGTGTATTCACATCGGTACCGTCTAGTAATGAAACGGTAAACATTTTCTTAATTAGAAACTATTTTATCTGACTCTATCGAAGCGTACTAACCGGTATTAATTTCAACAAAAAATGGTAACTGATCATTAATGGTGCGATCATTTAACGATGATTGTGCATCAAATGTTTCCTGTGCGCGCATTTTTTTTCGAATATTGACAAATTCTGGTGGACATTTAATAACTTTGAACATTATTGAACCTGTAAAAACAAATATAATATCTTATTTTCTGATTCACAACGTATAGTTTATTTCAAACCTTCTGATTTTTGTGCGTGATTTAAACATATATTCAATGGACATTCTTTATCGTGTAAAATAACTTCTTTAACAATTTTATTATCAATTTGATCTCTTGGTGGTACAATAATCTAGAAACAAACGATAAGTGAGATACTAAGTTTATGGAACTAGACAATCAAACCTGTAATAGACAATAATTTTGTGGATCTTCATTTCTCATCCCATACTTTTCTAACATTTCTTTGACAAGCCATTCAGCTGTATCTTTAATTGATAATAAAAATGTCTTATACGGTATTGATGGATTTAGTGCATCGCCAAATACTTTCATTGTTCCACCTTAAATTTCGAAACAGTGTATTTAGTTTGCAAGTGATCAAAATCGTAAGAATATTGCCTACCTCCTTCTTTTGTACTTATTTTCAAAAATTTTTGTTTTAAACGATCTTGTTGAATTTTTTTTACCATTTCTGGATTGGATAGTGAACGTGTAAATTTATTTGTTTCTGGCACAGATTTATACAATGACTCAGCCACGGATGAGACCGGTGCAGGTTCTTCATTACCATTTTTCTTCAAAAAAACAAACAAAAACAGCGTCATTCTCTCATATTTCAAGAAATTATTTTTCATCATGAAATAAAAGTCAGCAACATTCAAAACACAAGATTTAGGGATCAACACTACACCGGAAGCAATAACGTTTTTACGAAAAAGCACATTAATCTAGATTGGAATCTATGCAAAAAAAATTGATAAATAACGCCAGATGAGGGAAAACTCTGCATGATCAAAAAGAATATAAGTTTAAAATACAAAGAACAGCTCTCCTCTCGACAACGGTTAAACATGTATTTCACGGCAGTCAATATCATAAAACTTTTTATAAAAGATAAAAAATATTTGAAGCAAAAACGTTCACGCTTTTTAAAATCATACCCTGTCTTTTCTATTTCTGTGCCACATTATAAAGTTCTCTGTTTTGTTGAAATGGAAAATGTACTGTAGAAAAATGAACGTTTCACAGTAAAGTCTAATAGTGTAACGCAAAAGCAACCATATAAAATTAAACTAATTCTTAAGTTAGAGTAGCAAACAGCGTTTCTGTATTTAGACTTTCGACCATTGTGTGTGACATTAAACAATAATTTTTAAACCTAGATTAAGCAGAGAAAAAAACTGTTCGAACGCGCATAAAAGTAATTTAGACAGCAGTTGACCACAGATAATACTATCATTTTTTTTTTAAAAGCAAGACAACGAAAAAAGCATCATTTTTCTTTTTTGTTAATTTTTAAACCACAAAAACAAAAGCCTTTTCTTTCCTTTTGCTCTAACCGTACCTTTTAACTTAATAACAAGTGAGGCTAGAACGAATTTGAAAATAATAATTTTTCTTCTAGTGCATACTATTGAAGATAAAGTGAGCTTACTTTTGTTTTGCTTTTCTTTTTCGATTCACGTTTCGAACTTCTTCGTTCTTTAAAACTTCCCCCAACAGATTTTGATTTCTGAAGAAAAAAACATAGTATATTTATCTATATTTCCGTAATTTTTTGTTTTATTCTAACCTGTCCAATCTTTGCATTCTGCAATACAAAACGTCCTTCACGTTGATCTTTACCCCAGTTTAACTGAACCCATAATGGGCACTCATCGCCGTCCAGTTTTCTTTCCTCTGAAAACAAAAACACTAAGCTTCTTGACAAAACACTTTTTTCAATTGAATCTTTTACCTCCATTTGGATGAACTTCATAAATACAATAATCTTTTTCATTTGGTAATGTTTTCATATCCGGACGCAATTTTTCAATTAAAACTTTGATTACATCCGCGGTAGTCGCTGAACTCGCTACGCGAACACATTTTGTTGTTACTTTATCTTCAGCGTCTTGAAAATAAAAACGCATAACACCATAAAAATCAAATACCTAAAATATCCAAAGTAATATAGAATTAAAAAGAATGAGCTACATATCACTACAAAATACAAACTTCATTTGGTTCACTAATTTTGAACAGATCCAATCGTGTACTATTCCACTCATTAATCAGTTGTACAATCTCAAAACGATCTTTGGCAGTCATCTTTTTCTCATCTACAAATAACCAAAGAGTAGGAAAAACAAGTAAAACTTTTTATCGTCATCAATAAATATCCTTCATGCGTGTAAACGAAAAGAAATCAGCAAACAAACAGGTCAATGTTACAAGCAATCAACAATAAGGAGAAGCGTGAAGGACATTCTTGTCAGGAGTTATCTACCAATATATCCTACTAAAAATGGTCGTTGATAAGAACGCTATCAAAACTACTGATTGCATAAATAATCGAACAGTAATTAGATACAAACTCCTGAGCAATGGAATTTCTATAGATGTCTTGATTAAATATTTGCTCCGCATTAATACCTGCTAAAAAGGGGTTATTCATAAAATAGTCCAGTACAGTGCTTAATAAACAAGTTCATCGCAACCAGGAAGCCTTTTATTGAGCTTGAAGCATATTCCCTTATGCTTTTCCGCTATTGTATACGGTTTTATATCGGCAGCTCGTCTTCTCAGAAAACCTTTTCAGCTGCTGTTGGCTGTAATATAACTTCTGACACCACAAGGACAAAGTAAATGTAAATGGTGAGAGATCAAGAGATAATCGAATATGAATAGGTGTTAATAGGCTAATAAAAAATCGTGCAAATGTTTTCTGCCAAACTCTGTATTACAATATACAAAACAAGAGAGGGGTATGTTGATTATTATCTTCACATTGGTCTGAATCGTGGTTTTGGTTATGGTAATTTGTAACAAAAGATGTCGCTCATTGTAATGTTACCCAAAAAAATTTGAACTCTGTTAGAAATTGAAGATTCCTGTAGCTAATTGATAAGACACATGTGTCTTATCGATTCTGCAATGATTCTGCAAATGGGGTACAAAATTGAAAAATCAAGTAATCTATGGATAACCAATGGATAAAATGATTGAAAGAGAAAGGAAGACATTGTGTTCTTCGCTTTGTTCTTTCTGTATGCGTCACAATGGGGCGATTTTCTTGAATTTCAACTCTGAAATGAAATTATTTCGAGATGGTACCATAACCACATTGTGGAATTTGACACTGACAATCACATACAGCTAGTTCTCTCCCTGTTTGCATCCACCATATGGTCTTAGCGTTTTCACAGTAAGTAGTTTATCATCCATCGTTTGAATTCCCAATCGGAGCATATTTACGATTAGAATCAGAAGATCAAAATCTACCTGGTTTCGTTTAATATTATGTCACTCACTTAGCGGAAAGCGATTAAATTGATTCCTCCTAAATAGAAAGTTTCGGTTTCGTTTTCTGCGCGTCTACTTGAGCATACCTTTTAAAGCCCTCCCCCTAATAGAAGACCAGATGATCTTTTATTTTGTTCGGCCAGTTAAAACTTTGAGGGTGTTCTTAACTTTCCCTGTACTGGCTTGAAACTCACAAACCTTAATCAGGTCTTTTAACAGGGGATGGCTCACTATTAAGGGATCGTCTTCTATTATGTTCAGGGGTTTACTCGGATCGTACAATAAATTTAGGTTTTTTAAATATCATTAAATATCATTTTGATCTAACGGCCAAGGGATGCTGTTGCTAGACCTTAGACGTTTTTAATCGACAGCATCACAGATCATTAATCAAATCACTACCGTAGTCTAAGTGCATTTAGAATGTTTCCACCTCAAACTTATTTTGAATGGATAATTAGTGATTGCGATTCTTTTGCAATGTATTTAATGCAAAGTGATGCTGCCGATCAAAAACGCCTAAGAATCACGAAAGGAAGCACTTTTTTTCCTTGGCCGTTAGATCATTTATCTAGTTTCATGCAGTGAATAGCAACTGGTTCATTATTTAAAATCACTTTTCTTGTGCTACGTCCCACTCAGCACGCTTATGTGTCACGAAGAAGACTGCAACATTTAATACTAAATAGAAATGGTTTTATTATAATTACTTTAGCATGATAGTCTTATTTTTCCATTTATAGACGCGTTTACCTTTTGGGTAAACTTCATACTTACTACAAGCAATCTGGAATGAGTACATTGCGTAAGCCTTTCAAACTACTCGTAGCGCATACCATGTGTCGGTGGGTAGTTATGTGTAAGCTGCTTGGTGTTTTGTTTGTCTCTTTCTGCTACTTTATGATGTTTCTGCTCTTATATTCTCTGCTCTTTATTCTCTGCGCGCGCGAGAGAGAGACTAGGATAGAACAGAAGGAGGTAAAGGACAAAACAACACTACATAGTTGTTCCAATCAAACATTAACATTTAATAAATTCGAACGATCTGTCTTTAATATGGAATACAGCAGTAGAAAACTGATTCACATACTGCAAACAGTCGTGTGATCGGTGACAGCTGACTTCAGATATTTTTTAAGCGATAGCTGAGAATACAAAACATTTTTCTACTAAGAAGTTTACGATTCTTTCACTGGTCAACTTGTCCTCTTGCAAGATTCTTGTCTCTTGTCATTCAGCTAAGAATCTTGTCCTAAATTTCTTTAAAGAATCTAAAATTTTACATGTATTTTTATCTCAAGCATCTCACAAGAATCTTATGTACAAAGAATTCATCCATAAATCATTTTCAATTTTCTTTTTCTTTATATATGCAGCATGGTTGTACACATGCCAATAGAGGCATACGATAAAGTACTAATTTAACCGTCTCTCAACAAAAATCTTGTTAGAATAATAAAATATCTTGTATTGAAAAATTTTCGATTGATAATGTGGTTTACATGTAGCACTGATATCTACAAAACAAAAAAATGACAAAAGAGTGTTGTCGGATTCACCAAGATACATTTAAAGATTCTTGTCTGAAATGCCAAGAGACAAGAATCTCAGAAGAAAGTCGACCAGTATTTATACTGCACGATGCATGAGAAAAGTTTATTTATTATTTTATTCTTTTTTCTGCACTACAACTGCAGAATGCAGCTGGATCTTAAAAGGGCTATGAAGTCCTTAGTGCTCAAAAAAGTTTTATTAGTAAAACAGGCGTGGTTAATTCAACAAGAGTGAGTCAAATGGTACGAAGACTAGCGAGATAGGCAGTGTACGCTGTATATCATAGATAAGTTGTGCAGAAATAAGATGTGTTTAAATTTGAATTTAATTCGCAGAATTTTACAGAGTTGATTATTAGAGTTTTTTACGGCAACTGCTGGGAAATCTTCAATTTTTCGAAGTTTCAAGCGCCGACAGCTGTTTCACTCACTTTTCTAGTAATATGCATGTCAAAATTTTCGAACTATTTAAATTTTGTAGGACTAATCAAGTCGTTGATAACAAACATGAATCAGACAAGTCCTTCGAAAATCACGAAGAAAAAATTTTCCGTATGTACTGTTTGTTCTTTCTCGAGCTCGTCCAATGATAAGTATGATTTTTGTGTTATTCCTAGATTGCTGTTGAAGGTAACATTGGCAGTGGTAAAAGTACTATTTTATCTTTACTCGATAAATCATATTTGTGTGACGTAAGCTAGGAACAATAATAACAGAAGTAGATTATTTAACAGTTTATATGTTTTAGGTTGTTGTTGAACCAATTGAAAGTTGGACAAATGTAAATGGTCATAATTTACTAGTAAGTAATCATAAAATTCAATGAAAAATAGATTCAACATTTGATTGCATGCAGATAAAAATAGGCATCATGAACTAAAGTAGTAACTGCTATTTTGAATATTCAGCCGGTTGGTGATGCTGTTTTTCTTTCAGGCTATGCTGTATAAAGATCCTGTTCGTTGGGGTATGACTTTTCAAGCGTACGCACAAATGACATTAACAAAATTGCATGCATTACAAACTAAAAAACCAGTTAAAGTTATGGAGCGTTCAATTTATAGTGCTCGATATTGTTTTGTTGAAAATTTATATAGAAGGTAAAATCTGATATAGTTATAACAGTTCATCGCTGAGATTTTTGTTCATTTTTAGTAAAATATTACAGCAGGTTGAACATGAAATATTGAATGAATGGTTTAATTTTATGACAGAGAATGGTAGATGCAATTTAGATATGATTATTTATTTGCGTACGTCTCCCGAAGTGTGTCTTGAACGTATTAAAGCTCGAAATCGTCCTGAAGAAAAATCAATTGATTTAAATTATTTAACAGCTTTGAATAATCTACATGAACAATGGTTGATTCAGAAGAAACCGTACGTTCCCTGTGCACCGGTGTTGATAGTTGATGCGAATCAAAATCAAGAATTAGTTTATAAAGAAGCAAATGAATACTTAACTAATCTTGTTTGTTAAATGTAAAAAATTGGTAGCATGTGCAATATCTGTTTTTCCTCCGCCAGTTGTGTTACATTTGTTGTTAATAATTTTGTTGTTATTGTAATATTTTTGCTATGTAAACTTATTTTTGATATAAATTTTGTAAGCAAGCTAATAATCTCAGCGATGAGAATAGATTAATAGTATATTTATATCATGTTGAAAAGTTAACTGAATCCTAGAGTAAATCTACGCTGAATTATTACCAAGACTTAATGACGAAGTCTTACTTTTATCGGAAGCATCTAAACAATATAAGAAGAAAGAAGTTGTCAGATCATGCTGGTGTTTTAATATCGTTTAAGATCTCTTCTCTAGATAAAATGTGTCTGCTATTAATACAATACTTACTGATTGTGTTCCAAGAAAATTAGCATTGTTTTTTCGAAAACCAGAATATCTGCAACAAGACTAACTATTCACAACTAACGACCATGAGTGAGGATTCGCAACATAACTGTCGTCAATGTTCTATGCAATAACTTGGATAGAAATAAATTTTAACATACTTGAAGACGAGGAAGAGGATTATTTATCTTTTAAAATTAATTTATCATTAAAATAATTAACACGACCAATGAATTCAAAATCAGATGATTCTTGTAAACGTGAATAAAATGTGCCAACAGTAGGATAACATTGATCAACGATAAAATTTTTGAATAATTTTGTTGCAATAGTTGTTCTCCTAATGGACTATCACACCATGAATCGATTAAAAACTTGTGAGTATAATCTAATATGGTAATATTTTGTATTGTTCATAGGTGCGTCTCGTTGTTTGACAATTTCTTGTGAAATACTAGCTTGATATGCTACAATAACAATGAATGAACATCTATTACCGTGTTTACTGGTGCTGGAAACTAAATACAAACATGATGCCAATCTAATAGCACGTCGAAGACTTTCATGACCAAATACACATAACGACTTATTTCGGGCTAAGTCACATCTAGCGTTTGGATGAAAAGAGTTGATAGTAGCAACGTATTTTCAGCCGATAACAGCAAGAGCTCACTAACACGACCAGATATCACTTCATTTTTATACCAAGATATTATAAAACGACCATTTCAGTTATGTGTAACTTTCAAACCATCAGGTTGGAAATGTCCTCGAACAGCATGAGCAATTGGTTTCGAAATTCCAGTTCCAATCCACATTCTAATATATAAAAAATATATATAAAACTATTTAAAGGAAGAAAATACTAAATTAATGGTATTCAGCAACAGATGAAGAGATAAAAGACTCACGCGGTATGCGATGGTTCAAAATCATCAAACGTGGTAAAGTCATCTATTTCGGCATCTTTGTATGGCATTTCACAAATAATAATATTGCCCGGTTTTAAGTTAAACTTTTCATCGGAAATATTTTTTCTTGTTTTGTTACGATATTGGATGATCATGTTGTTGATAGAGACATGTCTCTGCTATAGGTGATCACTGTAAAGTGATAGTTAAAAAAATCTTTGTTTATAGCTACGAAAAACAATGAATTGAGTGAAAAGCACAAGATTTAAATAAGGACGTTTTGCTCCTTGATCGGAACGTAAAGTGGTCAGGTTACGATAGGACTGAGAGTGAATATTTTTTCCGTCCATTATAATCGTATGCTTTCCAAAGGTCTAAAAGTACGAATTCATTCAAAACAAGCTTCATTAAGTTGAGTTCAATTAACGGAAAACGAACAAAAAAACAATGACAGGAATTTTGACTTTCACACTTTGTTAAAGCCGACCCTGATCGTCTCTTGAAATAGCGTAGTGTAACAAACGTCTTCGTTGTAGCATGTTCCGTCTGATGTCATCATATAGGGTGGTCGGTAAACTACGCTACAAATGATTGGTTACCTAAAATCTAGTTCCGAATGCAGTTGATCGTGTAGTGACTATTACTGTTGGTTATGGCTGTTACGCTCAGAAAATGGTTTTCTTCGTGTGCACGAGAGTTTTTGAAAGTGAATTTGCAGAAACGTACTGCCTATTAATTATTTTAAAACATAATTGTATTTCTTTTTTAAAGAATCCTTTAAAGATTAATTAGCTAGTTAGACAGCCTACTATTATTTATGTTGCAGTAAAGAATAGCAATATTATCCATTCTTTAGGTTTCTAGGGGTTGCTAGGCAAAAATCATATCTCTAGTGAATGTACTTGAGACCAGGTACTTGGGTAAGTAATGTCCAGAGTACCTCGAATTTTTGCAAGTGGAAGAGGTACTGATCAAGCAATCTAACAAGTATAAGTACTAGATAACTACTTCATCTAGTATTTGGCGGGTAACCTGGTAAGTAGTTGCGAAATATATGTAAGTATCCGAAGTTCTTTCAAGTACTTAGCAGGTATTAAATCTAAAAAGGCTTTGACAAGTGCTTCACCAAGTACTTTAGAAAATTTGCAAGTAGCTATGTACTTGATCTCAAGTACATTCACTAGGCAAGAGTGCATCAGTATTGCCAGCGATTTTAAAATTACACCTTTCATGTTTTCTAAACTAGAAATACTGATGTACTCTAAATTATTTTTGTAATATATGACTTTCGCGTAGCGATCCCTAGAAAGTCGGTCAAACCAAGACATCCATAAATTTCTATCTATAAACGCTACAATCGCCGCAAAATTTCGAAATTTCACGTTGATAGTAGAGATTTATGGATACCTTGGTTTGACTGTCTAACTATCAATCATAAGCGTTCAAAGTGCATGAATGAATCAATTTCTGAAAATGTGATTCAGACTGATTTAATAATCGATGCAATGTTTATTTTCTAATTATTCCCATAGCGGAAGGAATAACAGTTAAGCCCGTACGCACCATAATTTTACTCATGCCGGTAAATCAGCGCTAGTCACTGTCAAGTAATCGAAAGATTCACCTTAAAGTGAAGTAGAAATACACTTTTGAAGAAATCCGCTTTGTTTCTACTATTTGACAACTGTAAAAAATGTTTTTTTCAGTTTCATTTTGGATTGCCGAGGTTCCGAAGTTTAATTTGATTTGCTGTTTTAAACAACAAGGCAACGAATTAAGCAGGGCGTGACGAATCATCAGTCTGCTGATGACGATACACAGTAATTCGGATGAATTATTGTTCCGAAAGGTGAAGATAAGCTTTCAAAAAGTGCCAGTAATTGGTGAAAGCTTATTTTAGCTATTTTGAAAAGACAACAAAAATGTGGCTAAACTTTTTTATTGATGAGACTAACACATCTGTGTGTTCTTAGTGGATAAAATCAGAATAAAACTTTTTAGGAAATCTATTTTACTGTCGCATAGCCCCAGTTTTTGAGCTTCCACTTTCATAAATGCGATTAGCTCCTTTGGAATTCACTGCTCTTATTATTGTCGATTTTATTTGCCTGCAGCTGAAAGCGGTGAGAGGAAGTCAATGAATGAGTGAAAAATATATCTAATTCAATTTGCTGCATCATTTTATTGCCAGCCATCTAAAAGAAAAGGCTCACTAAAAGAATGTTTGTAACAGCAGCGGTCTCAGCAGAGCCGTAACCAGAGGGGGGGGATTGGTGGATCGGTCCCCCCTTGAGTCTCAGTATAAAATATACATCTAACCAGAGACAGACGCATTTCGATAATCTTTTTTCCTTATTCTTATATATGTTGATTTGTCTGAAAAAAAACCAAAATGTGATTTCTGAATAGGAAAGTGGGATACAAAGTAGGATTTTTTGTCCCTCAAAGTGGACCGTAAGTGGGAACTTCATTTTTCAGAATGGGATGCCACGTTGTTCTCGCTGATTCCACCCATCATTGAAAATAGTGACGAGAAGTACTCAGCCTTTGAGAAATAACTATATTAAATACACTTAGTTTTATAAAAAACGTAAAAAAGTCAAAGAATGTTAATAAATTTGAGAAATAAGCCTGCTTTTTTTAAACTCAAGTGTGCTCTCACACTACAATATTATTGCAACTACACTAATATTCTACGTGAAAATACTAATGAAAATATGGCGTTTGTCCTGGTCAGATGCTGTCAACTGTAGGTTAAGACTATTTCAAGTCACTCTCGTGTTTTGCTCATGATTGTAAATCATATTGTCCTTTTCAGATTACTCAAACGTTTTAACACCGATACCCTATCAGAAGCTTACTGATTTGTTTTTTTTTATTCTTAATCACATTACTTAAAATGGATAAACAATATTTAAACGTGGCTGCTCGTCGATCTTTACCATCGTCTTCCACAGGTGCTAAGCCATCTGTAGGAACTCAACAACAACAATCTACTTTACCCAATTCATCATCACAAGATCTGTTTAATTATCCAAAAAGATGGGTGTTATTCTTTTGCCATCGTTTTATCTTTGCAGAAGCCGATTTGAAAATAATCTTTTATTTTTGTTTATTATTAGTCGGTAGTACAATCAAAGGTTTTGATATCGCACCACAAACATTTCTTTCAGATAAACGAAATACATTGAACACATATTTTGCTAAATTAGGATGGGGATGGACAATGGGACTGTTATTACCGTTTGTTTGTCTGACAAATTTCGATTATACAACAAGAAAATATGAATTTATTTTAAAACATTTAATACGTCTACTTATTGCTACAGGTATTTGGTATGGAATAACATCATTATTTCAATATATTGAATCATTAACTGGACATTGCGAACATTTGGAATATTCTAAAGCTAGCAGACAAATATGTTTAAAGTAAGACAATAATTTAATTACGAGAAAGTTATTTGAAATTAGCCATATGAGTAAGCTTGCTTAGGATACATGATCTTGATAAAAAACAACATTTTGAGAAATTCTAGAATTCTGTTCGAGACTTTATTTACCTTTTTTCCTCTCTTCAGAGGTGGACATAAATGGGAAGAAGGTTATGATTTAAGTGGACACACATTTTTATTAATGTATTCACTATTAGTTATTAACGAAGAAGTGAAATCGTACGAAACTTGGAAAAAATCAGAATTATCATACAAAGAAAATAGTGAAGAAAAATCAGAATTAAAATCAAAACAGCAACGAAATGATGGTGATGCACAGTCATCATCATCGGCTCCAGTTAATTATATCGATTGGTTTGGATTTTATAAATTATCATTAGCAATTAAATGTTTATATACTGTTTTGGCGTTATTAACTGTTCTATGGGAAATCATGTTATTATCAACAGCACTTTATTTTCATCTTATGCTACATAAATTCTTTGCAGCGGTATTAGCTGTTCTTATGTGGTTTATTACCTACCGTTACTGGTATAAATACAGAAGTGATCCGTCAAATATTTTTATACCATGTTTACCGGGTGATGGACTTTAACTCTATTAGGGAAAAGAATAAATACCAAATAATCTTTTTTTTTTTGTTCTGTGTTACTAGACATTTTGATCCCGGTGTGTTAACAGAGTAATTCTCCTTATCAGGAATACGCAATTGTTAGAAGTGTATTATGCGAACTGATAATATACATTTTCGATGTTGTTTTTTTCTCTAGCATCGTTTATTCTTTACAGTATAGTCAAAAACTTTAAAATCTATTTGTAGGCAGAGCTTGTATTCATTGACTAGCCACTTTTTTCTACTTCCATTTGTTATTGTGTGTTTTATTAGACCAGCATTTTTTTCTCTTTGTATGTTTTGTGCACTCAATGTGGTCATTAATTTTGTTGTCGTAAAGTTACATCTTTTTACATAAAGAAAATTTGAATGAATAAAGGAAAATGATCATTTTTTTGAGAATATTGATATTAGTCCATACATGCAGACATTTTGACAAAATCGCTACACTGTTGCAGTCATTCCGACACCATCTCAGCTCTTGTTTGAACTTACATTCGTTACAGGATTATAAGACGGGCAATGAAGAATGAAGAATAAATTCATTGATTTAATATAAAAATAAGTAGAACAAAACATAAAATGAATAATTCATGATTGAATTTGAGCTGAAAGTGTCTTGAGTTTACATGCAACACTTCTCGCGTTCATACGTGCATCTGAATCTTTCAACCAACATTCTTCAATCATATTGAATATTTCTAGTACTACCTATGCAATGTAAGAATAAAAAATATGAAAGTAAAAGGCGAAAAATTCTTTTTCAAAACATACCTGATTAGTAACATTTGTTAAATTGATTGATGGTCGAAGTTTTTTGTATAATACAACATCGTGTATATGTTCTAAATGTACATTTCGATTTTTATATTCGTCACTATTCTTTAAATATTCATCATACGGTTGTTGATAATCACAAACATCTGAAATAGAGAATATCCTATATATTGAGACAAAAAAATGACATTAGTTCAACTTACTAGGATAATCTATACAACGTGTTCCAATTTCCCACATAACTAGAGCTAATGCATAGATATCAACGGCACATAATGCTTCTCTTGTATAAGTAATAACACCTTCTAGCAATTCAGGTGCCATATAGCGAATTGTTCCAAGCTAATTAATAAAATGAATTGATTTTTTAGTGTTACTATCTATCAACACATTTACCTGTACAAAATCTTTTATTGTTAATGTTTCTGGAAGAACAAGTGCTACACCAAAATCAGCTAGACACAATTGAAGATTTTGTTTAACTAAAACGTTTTGACTCTTAATATCACGATGGACAATGGTTGATTTTATTAATTTACTCTCGACATAGTGTTCTGAATGTAAATAATCTAGACCATTGGCTAATGATAATAAAAAATCTAAACATAATCTGAGAGATAACGTATTCATGCTAAGATATTTTTGTAATGAACCATATTCATGATATTCAATGGCTAAATAATAACTGACACCATAGATACCATCAAATATATATCTGAAATACAAATTAGATATAATTTCAATTTCAATTTAATTAATGATAACTTTACTTAATAACGGCTTCATTATTAATTGTTTTCAATATCATTACTTCATTTTGCCAAAGAATCATATTGTCTTGAGAATATAGTTTCAATGTAATAATATTCGATTCTATAAATCCTTTGTATACTCTACTATTTTTACCATTTGCTATTTGTTCTGCACTTGAAAAGAAGCCATCGATTAGTGCAGAATTTTTTGTTTCTGATACATTCGAGTCTACTAATAATGATACGGATAGTTTATCAGACGATTGGTTTTTGATGATATATTTTAAAATAAGAGATATGATCAATAAAAATAAAATAAATACAAGTATAATCCACCAATATTGACTCCATGAGAATCGTTGGTAATACACAGGCAAAATAGAACTAGTCGAAGAACGAATTGTAGCTAAAAGATGGACATTTATTCAACGCTCTAAAATCGTAGTAAAAGAAACTATATTACGACGTACTTATTGTTGTTTCATTAAAAACCTCGTCCCCTACATGCCATTTCAATGTACAATTGTCGGTATTACAATAACAAATAAAATTCACATTTATTGAAACAGATTCTGGCGGTATTGTTAGCGTGCAATTGGAAACGTTTACAAATTTTTGATCATGATCTTCGATAAGTGAAAGTTGTTTAATTAATATTTCATTTTTTGTTCCCATAACATATAGGCCAAAACATCGTTCATTTGTCGTCAAACTTGCGAGCGCAAATGAACAAACATTGTTACAATGACGAATGGAGTGTACACTTTTGTTTGCAATTTCATTATAAATTGGACATATCAATGTATATAATCGAGTAAAAGATGAAAGCACTGAAAAAAAATGAAACTTTCGACAAAGACATTGTTAATTAATTGAATTTTTGGTTCAGTTATAAAATTTAAGAAAAGTAAAATGTTTATAGTCAAAAAATCACAATCGACGTCCATAGGTATATATTTGTTAGTAAGCAATTGATCTGAGGACAGCCTTAGTGAGTCAAACTATCATTAGAATTTATTTGAGTGCATCATACCTAATAAAAACTGAAATACGCCCATTTTTTGTAAAAATTAGGTATTAATCAAACAATACAGTAGTAATGGAAACAAATAAACATAATAGCCAACTATTAGTCTTCTTGTTGTTCGGCGAAAATACATTGGCTTATTGAATTATTGCTTTGTTTCAGTTTTATGCAATGAAATTCTATTTAGCTTTGATGATGTTTTAGCGTTATGATGTGTTGTAAATTGTATATTGAATAACTAAATAAGATAGGAATGCTTGAACTAAATCGATGTTTTCCACAGCTACACCTTTGAGTTGTATTAACGCGTGACTTTTCCTGCAACATTAATTCATCTCTTTTCACGTCTCCTTGCGCTGTCGTTAAGCTGACGATTGTAGCGAACACTTAGAGATGTCAGACTAGTCAGTTTTCTTTTAATAATATTTTCATCTAGTTCATGCAACAACTAGTGAGAAGATGGAATGCAAAATGTCTTTTTAACGAGACCCTGAAATTAAAAATAAATACATAAACACACTTTTATTTCTTGATCACAACTTAATATATACGAAATTTAACAAAAAAAATATAGAAATGACTAGAAGCATAATTGTTTCTGTTTTTTCACAAGTAAATGTACAAGGAAGACATTTATTTTCTTATACTAAAGACATGACAACAGACATTTAAAATCCTATCAAGTTTGTGTGTAAATATCGTTCATCGATAATAATTTCAAAATTGTCATTCTTTTTTTTCTTCTTTTTCTACTATTTCAACACCGAATAGACCATTTTCAGCAATATAAAAATCACAATTATTTTCTGATGGTAAATGAATACTAAAATCAATAGATAAATTTCTCAAATATACAATACTATTGTCATATTTAGCAGTTTGTGTTTGTTTTTTATAAGTACGATTTGTTCGACTAATTTTTAAACGGCAATGAATCATATTTGACCATGTTAAACCAAGACAAGCTTGTGGAATGTTATCATCAAATTGAGCTTGAATCTATACAACATAACGTAAATTAGTCTTATCCAGTATCATAAAGTACTAGAGAGTAGTGTGGTCATCACCTGATTCACACTAATTATGGTTAAATTATATTTGTGACATAGTGAATGCAATTCTATACCAATTCGTTTTAAAACTTTAGCTTTTTCATAATAACGATGAATAATATCATCGGCACGAAATAATGATGCAATAGAATCAATGATAATCAAACGAATATCTGGTTGTGATTGAATTAGTTTTGGTAAACGATCGATTAAGGTAAAATAGAAAAAATTCTAAAAAAAGTAAAGAGAAAATGCAATTAGTATTTGAATCTATGATACTTATATGCCTTACTCGTTCTCTTATACAATCAAGATAAATATTATTTAAATACTTTTGATATACTAGCTTGACATTGGCCGAGTTTAGTGGTGTTATAGATGTTACAAAATGCCATGTCAACTGTTTTAATCTTTTCAATGTGATATCTGAACGATATTCTGTATTGATATACACCACTTCTTTAATACAAATAAAAGATTATTTCAATTTATTTGTCATATGTTATATACTTACTCGCTTCTTTTCCAATATTATTAAACGTCTTTTGAATATTTAATGCCATTTGTAAGCATAACTGTGTTTTACCACTTGAATTTTCACCATAAATTTCTGTTATTTGACCTAGCCGTATTCCACCATCGAGAGTTTTATCTAGCAATGGACATCCTAATGAGAATTGACATAATGATTCGTTTTCTAATTCGATTAATTCGAGTACTATATAAATGAATATAAATCGTAATTATTGAAGATGAATAAAATTAGTTAATAAACAATTCATATTATACCTGATTTTTTATTTGAAGAATATGGATAGTATTCTGCTGCAGCTATTTCACGTAAGAGTTCAGCATCTTTTAATGATAATTGTTTGGTTTTACGAATAATGTCTGGTATATCTGAATTAATGAAAATTTCCAAAGAACAACTAGTACCATAAGCTAAAAAAAAGAAGAAAGATGAATAAAATTAGAAAGTCATACTAAACAATCCTCAATTATTATATTCAGAGAACAATGTGTCAATGCTTCTCTCTGTCATATCCTGTTTCAATTTATCCAAGTCATAGAATTTCTTCAAACTTAAAAAAAGAGACTAGAATACAAATTTCCTCAACTAGAAAAAAATGAGATCTCCTGTTTTTTGTTGATAATAGAAATACCTTTGTTGACTATATTTTGTATTCTCGGTGGTAACTGTATATCTTTCACAGTTAGGGTCATATTATTGAATTTTTACAGAATGATCAATCCATCATTTAGATCTATGAAATAATTTTGTTTTAAAATAACAAATATCTACATTAATTCCAAAAAAGAAAAGAATAATTAATACTCTACAATCTATTTGGTTTAGCACAAACGTTTTAGATTCTTTTCCATCGATATTCAACTACAAATTTTAGAAATAGTTATTTAAAAGCAGTTATTGTCGCACTAAATAGTTCACATGATTGAAAGAACAAATAAATCGAGCGGTCAATTTCTACATTCGATAAATACAAGTGTGTCAGAATAAATAAGATTATATTAAATTCTTGATCCGAAATGATGGTTCTGATATTTAGCCGATATTGAGCTTCATAACAAACATCCCTCACATAGTTCAAATATCATTGTCAATTTCATTATACCTATTAAAAATTCGCACTCAAATATCACTGTCTACAATTTGGACTACATTATTTAACATCTTCGAACAATTTTTGTTTAAAAAAAAAGTTTAATCAGATCGTACTTTCGATATACGTTTTTTTCAAATGAAGCTAAAAAGGAAATTTATCTGAATATATTGTTCTATCAGAAACAACAAAACAACGAAAAAAGGTCATATAAAAAACTCGCTCAAGAAAAATCTATCTTGTCTAATACACACAAGTAAATATATATGGTCTAAAAACAAACAATTGAAATCAACTTTTTATAGTTGTTATTGTATCACTAATAGACAGATCTGTTGTTCGGATATTTTTCTGTCTACTGATCATTATATTTTTCTTCTTTTAATATTGTTGGTATACTAACATCTTTGAAGTCCGATGTCAACGTTAATTTTGTATTTAATTCTCCTTCTAACTCTATTAATCGTTGTCGATCGAGATCGTCATCATCATCACTACTTTGCACATCAAGATCATGTTCAATACCAGTTAAATTTATTCCATCATTGCAATCGTCATCATCATTAAGAGCTGACAGTTTAAAACCCTGCAAATAAATAGAAAACTGATAGATTTGATTAATTGAGTAAACAAGGACATTTGACAATTGACATTGTCTATTTTTGGATCTTCATGCAGTTTTTCATATAGATAAACATGCACTATGAGTTTCGAAATTTTATAAGCAAAAGCTTTTAAAGCATGCATTTGCAATAAAATCTGCATGCAAATAATACTTTCTACATTAATCAAAATAGGAACAAAAAAAGAAAAATACATGCGCAGTTTTTGTTTTCATCAATAGGTCAATATAATCGCATATATTACCATGCTTGAGCCACATGAAGAAGAGTTTTACTGAACAATTTTTAAGATTAGGTATATGATGCAACAACAATATACAAAATGTAGCAGCACATACTCTTATTTTGGCTTTTTTTTGTTTATAATATACCTTCTGATTAAGATTTTTAGCAAGCTCTTTATGAAATGCTAATCGAGCCCATGGAAGAAAATGAGCTGTATTATAAACCTAGAAATAGGCAGTGTTTACGTATTGGTCTAGATAAAAATAGATTGAACGAAAGAGAAAGAACAGAAGGCATTTATAATTTGAACTTGATGTTTTTATCTCTGCTTTTGAACTATCAACTCTTACAAGCGTCTATACATCAACTTCGTATACATTATAGTATGTCTCCTAGCACTTTTTTTTAAAATTTTTGATTCTACGTGATCACAAGTATATCTACTACTACGAATACTTCCATTTTTCTCGTAAATTATTAAAACGTTTTTTACAATTTACTCAACATAAGAGTGTATGAATAAAACCCGATACATGTGAATCATCATATATCGACGTTCAATAAAAAAACTATGAAATTCACACATATGCATACATCAGGAACACATCAACACGATATTATTAGTTTATAAGTGCCTACTTTTTGTCGAAGTTGTTCACAACTCAATGTACCATCCGATAATTGATCTTGAACTGCTTCTTCCATTTTTAAATCATCTTCTAATTTTTTCAAGGCAGCATCGATTTTACCTGGTTATACAAATTATGTAGAGAGTAAAAAACCAGAATTTTTAATAGGTCAAAAATACGTACTATCAAATATTGTCACATCATCGTAGTTGTCGAGAACCGTTTCACCATTTGGACTCAAATAAACACCACCTTGATTTGTTGAATAATTATCAATGTCATCGTTTGATAATTCACTGGTGGATTTCGATGAGTGCTGTTGATTATCTATATTTTCATTTTTATTGATATTATTCTCACTCAGATTATCATCATTGTTATCTAAACCAATGGAACGTTCTTCAAGAAGTGGGATATCAATTAAATCTGTATGATTATCTTCCCAAAAATCATCCATTTGTGGTACAAATTCGCCAGCACTGTGTCTTAAAGCACTACCACGACCTAAAATAGTTGGAGTAAAATCACTATAATATGAATTCTATTATGAAATTTAATCGATCGAATTTTAATGAATACAACAGATAACATTTGAAATACCTCTTCGATTTTGATTTGATCTTGGAGGAAAATTTGTTCGATGTTGTCTATTATTATTTACACCAATATTATTCATATTTCGTTGTCTCGATGGAAAAAAATTATCTAACCTATATGCATCAAATTCGTCATGCATATTATTATTATTATTATTATTATCGTAATACGTTCGAAATTGTTGTTGTGAACGTCGTTGACGATATTGATAGTTCGTATTATTATTATTATTATTATTATTATTATTATTATTATTGTTATTATTATTATTATCGTTCATATAAGCTGATAATGGCAATGAATTTATATTATCTTGATAACGGTTTAACCGTGATGTTGATAATGAATCATAGTCATCTGATGAACGCTTTGAAAAATGATTTAATTGTTGTTGCTCTTGTCCTTGGTCTTGGTGATGAGAATAATCATAGAATGATTTTGGTCGTTGTGCACGATTTTGTTGTTGATTGAAACGAGGAGGACGTTCGTGATTAGCATAAGTATTGCTCGTATTCGCATTATCATCCGATCGACGATAGATTGAATCAAAATCACCCGAAATAGGACGTTGACTATGCTTATTTGTTGAATAACGGGATGTTGACTGATGTTGAGGTAAATTTTCATCATTATGATCAGGAAAAGCAAAATTTTGCGCTGAGCGATAATGCCTGAAATCTAAATAGAATACTGCGAGACGTAAGTTTTAAGTGTCCAACGTGAAATACCAAAAAATTATAGGAATACGTTTGAATAGCGTTCAAAATATTTCAAGCAGTCTATCTTTGATTTTAACCATAACTCAGTCACCTAATCGATCAAATCATTTCAGTGAAAATGATGGCTCCGAAAGAAATCTAGTGCTTTTTTTTACCACGATTATTGTTTGTGTCATAATATGTTTGAGACTGCTTTTGTTGATGTTGTTGTTGTTGTTGTTGTTGAAGACGCCGAAAACGTGGTGGAATTTCGTTTTGAATTGGAAATTCATTTTGTGATTGATTATTCGTGTTATGATTGTTATTCAGAAAACGATTGGAATTTTGAAATGTTCTCGTTGGATGAATGATTGTCGTCGGATGAGAATATGGTTGTTGTTGGTGATTTTGAGTATGTGAAACTGGAATAAAATCATTAGCCATTGTGTTAGTATTCTCAACATCGTCAATAAATGCCGAATGACGGTTTTGATGGTATGTTTGATGAGATGATGTTGTTGGTATAGGCTGATATCGAACTTCTAGAAAAAAAAGAAAGATATACAATTCAAATACACTCACAAAACAAGATCATACTCATCCTCGTAAACAGAAAAGAAGCCCTAATAAAACGATACTACTCAAGTTCGCTTATGCCAAAAATCATGTAGAGAAGTGAATTAATACTGTGCAAATATCATAGAGAGTAAATAGAAGATTATATACCACTGACGTTTGAACCATCATAATTTGAGCTATTATCCGTCTTATTATTATTGTTAGTCATGCTGTTGTTTTGATTATAAAATTGTTGTTGTGACTGTTGACGTGTATTATTGTATACACCATTCCAGTTTGATAAAGATGGAACATCAAGATGAAATTCAATGTCTGTATGTGGACGAGTCTGATAACGCGTACGATCTGAAAGAATAACGAAAAAGTTTTTATAATTAACGCTTTGAGACAAGTTCTTTCACTTACTATCTTTTCGCCTTTGTCCACCGGAATAGCCAGTTTGTGATTGTGAAAATCGGCCACTTCCAATTCTCCCGGCTAAAAATGTAGAAAAACGCGCTCCATGTCAAGAACTTTCAAATCAAGTCAAGTAAATTATTTTAATAAATCAAAATTAAGAGTCGTTTGTGTTATCTAGTTTAGCTTTGAATAAAATAATATCTTTACACAGCAAAAACAAACATGCAGATAATGCAAAAAGTCAAGCAATTAAAATTTTAGTAAGAAAGCTAAGAAATCTGTTATTTGGTGGGAAAAATGATCTTCATCTTGAGCTCTTTTTTTGAAAAAACTATCGAAAATATCATATACTGCACGATTACCGCTTTTTCAAGTAGTAGTAAATTATAGTTAGTTTTCGATGGCCGTAAGAGTAATTCTTCCACATTTCGCAGAGTTCGTTTTTCTTTTCGAAACTCATTCACGAATGCATCTAAGTAATTCTAAATTATTAATGAATTATAAGAAAAAAGTCTTGACAAATAAGGCAGAAACTGATAAACATTCTTTCAGTTGCACAGCATGAGCAAAAAGAAAACAAATCAATAGGCATTAGTACACGTGAAAGATAAATAGCAAAAAAGGTAATGCATTTTAAGTGATGCAAATAACAGAAAAAAGAAATTAAAACACAAGAATAACTGAATAAGCTTACTTTCAAACAAATCATCGTACATCAAATCAGTATGATCCATAGGTTAAAATATGATCTATAACCAAAACTTTTGACTGTCTCATATCTTCCAAAAACAAAAAACATGTGCACACGTTTTATTTTTTAAATTCTTTCGCACATCACACATATACACAGAAGAAGAGAGATAAAAAAAGAAGTCTAACTGTACCATTTTATGTTTATTATACATAAGACAGAAGTTCAGAAATCCATACTGTTTTCGTTCCTCGCTCTCTTTCTATTCAGTAATGTTCTTTTTTATATGTGTGTGTGTATTTGTCTACAATGAAGATATTATATCGCTTTTCTTCGGATCTATTTAGTAACCCACGTTATCTGACAAAAAAGACTCTTACCTGAAAAAAATTGAAGACAAAGGGATTTGGGGAAGTCTGGTATGGGTAAAGAGGTTGATGTACAGACTTTTAGCATAATTTACTTTAATGCTTCAGCTTTCTCTTCTTTTTTTTCTTCTTCTGATGCTCAAAAAAGAAAAGTGTGTATGTTTTTATATTTAAAAATGGTGTGTTTATTATACAGGTATTTACACGCATCATCCTTACACCTTGATGGTTATTTTTCTCCTTTCATTCGTTTTAGTATTTTTGGCATTACAGGGATTCCGTTTTTTCTCAATTTTTTTGTGCTTTGTTTGCTACACAACACGCATATAATGCGTTTGACTTTTTAAAAAAAAAGAAAAATGGTTAAACAAGTTTTCCAAACTAATTTGAGAAGACTGTTCTAGGACAGATTATTTTTTATTAAGAAATCGTATAAAAATCTTAAAGATATTATTTGTCTATTAGTAAATTAATGTGTGCGCATCCTCACTTTCGAAGAGCAATCATCATAAGTAAAAAGTATACTACTCCCATCAGAAAAGACGAAAAGTCAACATGTAACAGTAACTTATCCAATACTCGATTTAGAGAATAGGTAAATTCTTTGAACAAATATTTTAAATCTTTTTGATATATATCAGTAGAATTAAGTCAAGTATATTTTTTCGAATGAAAGAATTTGTGAAAACTGAAAAAAGTTAAACATTCGCAAAAGCCATATAGACATATAATTCTGTAATATGAGAAAGGTATTTAGGCTAAAAAATTGTAAACATATGTATAAATCTTTTTGAGCCGAATACAGCTATTAGATGTTCATTATTACATCCGTTGTCTCTATAATCCATCGCCAATAGCGTCTAGTTATCAACCACAAAAATAGATGGAAACTGTATTGTAAGGGAACGTTTCAAAATGTATTCCGGTCGGTCGGTCGGTCGCTATTCCTCTGCTCCCCGACTATTCCTCTCTTATTCCTTTGTCATTCCTCTATTCCCCAATTATTTCTCTATTATACAATTTAAATTCTAATTTATTTTATTTTATTTTGTATAGTTCGGTTTCTTTGATTGTATTGTTGATACATACATCGGCATATATATACTTCCAATGTATTCGTTTTTTTAACAAACATCTTTATAAGAGCAGACATTTTCCTGTTTAAAGAATAAAATCAGAAAGTAACAAATTTTATATTTTTATCAAATGTTCATCTTTTTTGTATTCATTTGTACAAACTTATTTCGTATTGCACTAACTTCGCGAACTAACGTTACACTAATTAGAATAGAGCCATTCCCATATTTTATACTAGTTTAAAGTGCACGAGTTGTACACTATGCTGGTCTATCTTTTAGAAAAGGATCCCTTTCAGTCTTTGAGAAATATGACTGTGAATATGGTTAATTATTGTTTA